CCGGGGGAAAGGGTACGGAAAATAAAACCACGGGGGGGGAAGTTTATTCCTCGAGGAGGAAAGGGGTTTTGTTGAGGTGTGTATGTGTGGGTGTGGGTGTGGGGTGGGGAAGAGGGGAGAGGGGAGGGAGCGAGCATGATGGCGAGGGCAATGAAACACCAGGGCACACGCGGACGTGTTGGGACGATCAGCAGCTCCCTCGGGGGTGGTGGGGGGGGGGTGATTGCGGCGATGGGTGTATGTGTATGAGTGTGCGCGGGAGGTGCGAGGCGCGAGAGGGTGTTCATGTCATGGTCATGCTCAACACAACCCTAAGCCCAAGGTACTGCACGCCGCGTTCAACCTGGTGGGGTCCGGGTGGTCCGGGTGGCAGGAACCAGTGCCCCACTACCGCCCTCTCCAGCCTCAACACTGTCCAGAACTCGCAAACACCCAGTAGTAGTAGGGGACCATTTTCCTCCTTCCCAGGCTACGTGTGTGTGTGTGTGTATCATTACAGCGACAGGCGATGTGCCCTCTGGCCTCTCTAGGTTTCTTTGCTTTACTTCAGCCCCCCCCACCCCACCCCCCCAGGCCCCCCCTCCCACCGCCCCCCCCCCCAACCCCCACCTGTACACGTTCTCCGTGGAGTGGCACATGCAGTTGATGACGTGGTTCCCGGGGAAGTGCCGCGCCACACTGCCCTCCAGCGCGCCCTGGTAGGTGGCGCTGAGGGCCGCACCGCCGCCCATGGAGCTCCCTGTAAGGGGGGGGCAGAGGGGGAGGGGGCAGGAGGGGGGGCCAGAGGGGGTCACCACCACCGCCGCCACCGTCATCACAATTACGCGGACGTGGTGGTTGCGGGTGCGGGTGCACCACCGAAAGGCGCAAAAGGATTTTAAATGTGGGCGAGCTGCGAGAGGGAGAGGGGGCCCACGCACGCAACCCCGCCTCACGCACCCCGGGGGCCGGGCCGTACACTGGAGCCAGCTCCCCATGCGCACTCACGTCCATGTACGGCAGTTGTTTAAAAATCTCCGATCAGGGTTGATGATTTATCTGAAACCCAACCCCCCACCCCCCACACACACTCTCTCCCCCTTCACCCACCAATCAGCCCGACGCCTGCTTGACAGTCCACTTTGACTCCGTCCACGCCGCAGTCGTGTAAGTAGCGGTGCATGGCGTCGTACAGTCGGTTGGGATCATCAACAACGCCAATACCTGCCGTACGCCCGTACAAGGGGGCGGGAGGAGGGGGAAAGCAGCACAGGCGGGTGGTGGGGCGGGGTTAGCTGCACAGGCTATGGGGGGGAAGGGCAGGTGGGACACCTTTGACAGCCGCCTCGCGTCCCCCCGCTCGCGGGATGGGGGGCGTCGGTGGTGGGTAGAGGTCGGTCGCTCGTCCAGGTTCTGTGTGTGACTGGGCTGGCCGGGGCGCGCTCGGGGTCAGAAGTGTCGTGGAGTTGTCGCGACACGGATGCGGCGGTCAGCCGGGCCCTACGGGGGTCCTCAGCCCCACAGGGGGGGTATCACCACCAAGCTGAACCCCACCTCAACCTCCCCTAGCGCTCCGGAACCCAGGGAGCCCCGACCCGTGGGGCTCTCCAGCGACACTGTTTCCGATTCCCTCCCCTCCCCTCCCCTCCCCTCCCCTAACACAAAGTCCCCCAACCCCCCCCCCGCCCCCCCACCCCCCCTGGGCCCCACATACACACCCGCCAGCACTGCGGGGTTCCACGCCATGGACGGCTCGATCTCCAGCACCCCCCGGGTGGGGGCGGCGTAGCGCACGTGCGAGGTCAGTCCGGGCACCTGCGCGCCCCCGCCCGCCGCCCCGTCGTCGGTGGGCATCACCCCCGCCCAGTACCCGGGGAGACCGTGCCAGCAATACACATACCGCACGCCGAATCTGGACAGGGGAGGAAGGGGCGAGGGGAGAAAAGGGGCCTTAGGGTGCCGAGAGCATCCACCGGGGCACCACCACCACCACCATCACCACCAAATAAGCGGCAGGTAGGCCAACACCGGCATTTCCCCCCCCCACACCCACACCGTTTATCCTTGGCATCAGCTTCGTTCGTTCGTGGTTTGTCTTCCCCCTGCCACCTCCCCCCCCCCCGGCCACCTTCCCCCCCCACACACACACAACCCACAGGCAGCAAGAGGAGGGGTGCCAGCTAGTCGGACGTTGTGACTGGTGGTCGGATGTGATGTGAAACCCAACAGACGAACAGACGAACAGACTTCAACGTAAACCTCTTGCTAAAAACGAGAAAAAGAAGGCAACAAGGAGGCAAGGCAGGACCTGCACAGAACTGCGTGCGTACGACGCACATACGACTGTACGAACATGCCGTTATGTGACCTATGTATGTATTTACGTATGTATGATGTGTGAAACAGGGGGGTGTATCTTCGCCCGTGGCAGCTACCCTGCGAAACCCTGCCTTCCCCGGTATTTCGGGGCACCCTCATCCAGTCACCCTAGTCAACTTCTCAGTGGATCGCTCAGGTTCTGCACCCACCACCAGCATCCAACGGAATCTGCCGGGTCGACAGCGGCCCAACTCCGTTCCTTGTCGGCTCGCAGGTTAACTTTATCCCAGGTCACCACCGTCCATCAACTAGGGGCGCAATGCCTTCCACCATCGGAAGGACTTTGACCCTAATGGGTATCGATCCCGGGATCTCCCGGGGGCAATGGTCGCGCCTTACCAGTAGTGCCAAACCCTATATGTATGTATGTATGTATGTATGTATGTACGTATGTGTGTATGTATGTATGTATTAAAACCCACTTTCTCTTAATGTGCGCCACCACCGTCCCGAGCGCCTCCTGGCTGCCCGCCCAGTCCGTGTCGGGTCCCGCGTCCGGGTGGGAGAACTTGCCGTTGGCGCGGACGGAGGTGAGGCGCCGGGTGAAGTCGGAGGCGGTGGCGTAGAAGGACAGCATGGCGGGGCGGAGGAAGCCTAATCAGGACACAACAGGCAAAGCAGCAGCAGCAGCAGCCGCGACAGAGGGGGCGAGGGGCGAGGGGAGGGGTCAGCTGGCGCCAAAAGACGGCGACAGGGGGAGGGGTCATAGGGGGGCGTGTGGGTTTGGGAGGAGGGGGGAGACGGCGGCGGTGGCGGTGGCGGTGGCGTTCGCAGGCGGATGATGTGCTACCCGCCGGCAGAGAGGTGGTGTGTGTGTGTGGGGGGGGGAAATACCACAAGGCAAGTAGAGGTCTGAGAGGGCGCCGTGTACCCACTACCACCCACCCTTCGCCGCCGCCGCAAAGGCCCGGACCGCCAGGCTGTTGGGCGGCGCCGGCTCCACCACCCACTGGTAGAAGATCAGGAAGCCCGCGGTGGCGAGGCCCATCAGCCAGCCAGCCACCTTCTGACTCGCACGAGCCAACCAAATGGCGATGGCGGAGCTGGCGGAAGCGGAGGAAACAACGGCAGGTTCCGTCGGAGGCGCCGTCGCAGCTGAAAGGGCCGTCGTACTTGCCGGCGGCGGGGGTGGCGATGATGACTTTGCCGCCGCCGCTCGCGCGACGGCATCCGCAATGCTGATGCCGACGCCGCTGGTGTCGTCAGCAGCAGTGCTGCTACTGCCGCCGCGAACCTCTTGCGGCTGTTGCTGCCTTTCCCCCCCTGCTATTGCTACTGCCGTTGTTGCTGGTGGTGGTGGTGGCGGCCCTGAGGAGGAGTCCCTGCTG